ATGGGGCTGGTGCCTTGTCCCCATGAAGGGGTTGGCACCATGAGGGGGCTGGTGCCTTGTCCCCATGAAGGGGTTGGCACCATGAGGGGGCTGGCACCATGAGGGAGCTCACACCTTGTCCCCATGAAGGGGTTGGCACCATGAGGGGGTTGGCACCATGAGGGAGCTCACACCTCGTCCCCATGAAGGGGCTGGCACCATGAGGGGGTTGGCACCATGAGGGGGCTCACACCTTGTCCCCATGAGGGTTGGCACCATGAGGGATCTGGTGCCTCGTCCCCATGAAGGGGTTGGCACATGATGGGGCTGGCACCATGAGGGGGTTGGCACCATGAGGGAGCTCACACCTCGTCCCCATGTGGGGGCTGGCACCATGAGGGGGCTAGTGCCATGAGGGGGTTGGCACCATGAGGGGGCTCACACCTCGTCCCCATGAAGGGGTTGGCACCATGAGGGAGCTGCCACCATGATGGGGCTGGCGCCTTGTCCCCATGAAGGGGTTGGCACCATGAAGGGGCTGGCACCATGATGGGGTTGGCACCATGAGGGAACTCACACCTCGTCCCCATGAAGGGGTTGGCACCATGAGGGCGCTTGAGCTTCTCTTTCTGAGGGGACTCGCGCCATTCCCGCCCTGAGGGGACTCGCGCCATTCCCGCCCTGAGGGGGCTCCCGCCATTCCCGCCCTGAGGGAGTTCGCGCCATTCCGCCATGAGGGGATTCACTCCGCCATGAGGGGATTCCCAGCACTTCTCCGTGAGGGACCTCACCCCGCTCCTCCATGAGGGGATTCACTCCACTTCTCCGTGAGGGAGCTCATCCCGCTCCGCCATGAGGGGATTCCCAGCACTTCTCCGTGAGGGACCTCACCCCGCTCCTCCATGAGGGAATTCGCAGCACTTCTCCGTGAGGGACCTCACCCCGCTCCGCCATGAGGGGATTCACTCCACTCCGCCATGAGGGGATTCACTCCACTCCGCCATGAGGGGATTCCCAGCACTTCTCCCTGAGGGACCTCACCCCGCTCCGCCATGAGGGGATTCCCAGCACTTCTCCGTGAAGAACCTCACTCCACTCCGCCATGAGGGGATTCCCAGCACTCCTCCGTGAGGGAGCTCACCCCGTTCCGCCATGAGGGGATTCCCAGCGCTCCTCCGTGAGGGACCTCACTCCACTCCGCCATGAGGGACCTCACTCCACTCCGCCATGAGGGGATTCCCAGCACTTCTCCGTGAGGGACCTCACTCCGCTCCCCATGAGGGGATTCACTCCACTCCGCCATGAGGGGATTCTCCGAGAGGGACCTCACCCCGCTCCGCCATGAGGGGATTCACTCCGCCATGAGGGGATTCACTTCGCCATGAGGGGATTCCCAGCACTTCTCCGTGAGGGACCTCACCCCACTCCGCCATGAGGTGATTTCCAGCACTTCTCCGTGAGGGACCTCACCCCGCTCCACCATGAGGGGATTCTCCGTGAGGGAGCTCACCCCGCTCCGCCATCACTTCTCCGTGAGGGACCTCACCCCGCTCCGCCATGAGGGGGATTCCCAGCACTTCTCCGTGAGGGACCTCACCCCACTCCTCCGTGAGGGAGCTCACCCCGCTCCGCCTGCACTTCTCCCCGACGGAGCTCACCCCGCTCCGCCCAGCGGGGCCGGCTCCTCGGGCTATCCCCTCGGAGCTCCGGCCCAGCTCCCGCCCCTCAGAGACCCGGCGGAGTTTCCCTCCTTCGCCCTCGGCCTGGCCACGCTGCTGAGGCGCCATGAGACCACCAGGCCCTCACTCCCTCAGCATCAGAGAACTCACCCTTGAGGACTTCCAGCCTGCTCCACCCCAGCATCCCTCAGAAAGAGGTAGGTTTCAATAATTCCTTTTTTTGATTTTTTTTTTGGTGTTCAGCCCACAGTGGGGCTGGTGCACCAACAATTGGTAGAAATAAAAATAAAGAAGGGAGCGACATAAAATCATGGAATGGTTTGGCTTGGGATTGTCCAAACCCCATCCAGCCTAGTTTTGAACTCTTCCAAGGATGCTGCCTTCAAATGACTGATGGATTTGGTTCATGACGGGCTGCGAGGTTGTATTTGGAAATTAAGTAGGAAAGGACTGACCCAACTGCCACCCCAGCCCTGATATTATCCATTTTCCAGCTTTATGGTGTCAACATGAGGCTGGTTTGGCTTAGAGGGGAATGTAAAGTTTGCAAAGAATGTGTTTCATTCATTGCCTCAGCAATACTGCAGATTTCCATTGAAAGGTGCTTCTAGAGGTGGGAAAATATTCTTCAGTATTTGCCTGAATTCCGATTAAAATTTTGTTTTCTAATTCCCTATGAAAGGTTTGTTTTCTAATTCCCTAATGAAAGAGGATGTTTGATTTCAATTAAAGTGAAATGTCATCATTTTCGGTTTTACTAATGGATATGGAATACTGCAGTCCATTAGGGAGAAAACAGTGGATTTGGGAAAAGGCCAGGAGGTGCAGAGGACGCAAAGAGATTTTCCATTTATTTTCAATTTTTGTAATGGGCATATGTAGGTCATTATGGAAATCCATGGGTTGTGATGACAGGGGATACAGAAAATACAATCAGGCAATCTCTTATCGAGGTTTCAGCAGGAATTATTCATATTTTGGAAATCTGGAAAAATGCTCGGATGGGGTTCAGAGTTATCTGTGCTGGTGGAAGGTGCCCAAGGCTGGGTGGGATCCTTCAAATCCTTTGCTCCAAACCTTTTCCATCCCAGCCTTGAATAATTCCAGGGTTGAGCCATCCCAACATCTCTGGGAATATAATTTGGAGTGACCCTCTGGGAGAGCTGATGAGATTTCACACTTATTCCCTGTATTATATTCTTTACATTATTGAGTGTTCTTTGAAGGCTCTCTCGTGCTGGTAAAAATGTGTTGTTGTTGTTGTTGTAAATCCTTTTCTATGTGGTTTCACATCTTAATTCTGTTTTTGCTGTTTGTTATTGAGCCCGGACCCATTGGTGGCGAGGGAGCCTCGGGCTGAGTCCCGTCCTTCTAATTGAATTAAAAGCTGCTGTAAAAAATACACGGGAATAAAAGGAGAGGGATGAAGGAGGAAATAATTGGGGGAATACGTGGCTGGATTAGTTATTGTCCCAATTAGCTGCCTGAATTAGCAGCTTGACGAGGAACACGGAGGGAAGAATAAAGGGCTATCGGTGACAAGGCCAGTTTTTAGGGAAGCTGCTCCTCTAAGTGTATTATGATTGCAATATAAAGAGCTGCAGGTTTCACTTAAATGGATTTGGATTCTGCTTATTTTTCTAACAGTAGATTGCTTTCACTTCCATATTAATCTCCTATTAAACCACAAAAATTCCAATATTTATTTTCCTGGGAGCAGCTTAGGAATAATCTAACTTTACAGAAAAATACGACTTGAAACCCCAAACCAGCCTCGCACGGATCTGCCAAGCACCTGCGAAGGAATGCAGCTGCAAAGCCCTGGGAAAACAACGGGAAATGTGACAGTTCATTAATATAATTCAGCGCCGAGATTGATTTGGGAAAGCCATTGCTGCAGGAGGACTCGGTGGCATTCCCGAGGTGTGTGCATGTCATGTAAATCCCAGTTTGGGAACTGGGACAACTCGCTGGGTCTGTCAGCAAAACAAATAGAGGAGCACCGATTGCTTCAGCACTTCATTTTTTAGTCCATATTCATTTTTCCTTGTTTTTATTTTTTTTTATACTTTGCTCTGGCTATTTTTTCCTGGTGAAAGTGCAGGCAGCGTTTCAAACTGTGATCTGCACAGATGGGAATGAAGGAACATTCTCCAGGCGAAAATTGTTCTCAGAGACATTTGGGATCGAGCAGGATTTGTCTGCGTGAGGGGAGGAACATCCTGATTTTCCTACAGGGGTGCTCAAGGATCCAACCCGTTCTGCCGTGGTGCAAGGTACAATAACACACAGAAAGGATCATCCCGTGGAAAAAACACTCATGGTGAGACCACTGAGGTGCTTTTCTGCCCAAACCTGTCTGCTTTTAATTAATTTGAGGTGTGTATGTGTTGATGAAGAGTTTCTATCACCACAAGCAGCAGTTACAAATGACAGGGTGGGCAGGGATGGGCTGGGCAAATCCAAAACAATTTACTTTGCATTAATTAACAGCTCCTAAAGAGATCCCACATTCATCCGGGAGAGATTTGCAGGGTGCAGTGTCAGAGAGAGGCTTTGCTGCCCACGAATTGTGTTTTTCCTCTCTTCCCTCCTCCCCCTTTTGGTTTCCAAACTGAATTTCCCCATTTCCAGATGCAACTGCGGTATAAAATGGAAATAAAACAGGCGGTTAAATTATCAGAGCCCAAAAAAAAAAAAAAGGGGGGATGATCCAACTCCATTTTCCTCCTTATGGATCCCCGTTGCTGTACTGGTGGTAAATACACCAGGCTCATCAAATTTTTAAGCACAGGATGCACAAAAGAAGCTCCAGAGTGTCTGGAAAATCTCGTGGCATCGGTCAAAAGCAGCTCTTGGGGCTGAGGCGTTGCCAACTCGCCATTCATCATCACTTCCCTTCCGTGCCCGCGTTCCTTTTGTTCTCTAAACCCGAAATTTCCGTGCTTTAATTTCCCTCCTCTCCCCGGAATGGCTTTGCAAATGCTCAGCCTTAAGTAATAGTCAGTAAAGGCGAATTACCTTAAATCAAGCAAAGGGTTATCTAATTTAGAAAATAGGAAATAGAGAGAAAATCAAACTAAATGAAATGTAAACTGGATAATTCATACCTAATCCATGGGCTCGCTCAACAGGAGGAGTCTTTTAGTTGAGCTCCCGTTTTAAACACCACTCACAGGTCTTTGAGCCCAAACCACAGATTTTTTAGACCCAAAATCCTCAGAGAATTCATTGTTGTATATGTTTTATTTAGGTTATGGTTTACAGGGATTGGTTTGTTATGGAATTGTGGAATGGTTTGGGTTGGAAAGGATTTTAATCCCATCCCATTCCATGCCCACCTTCCATTATCCCAGGTAGCTCCAAACTGGCCTGGAAAATTTAGGAATTTCCCAGGAAAGGGAATTTTAGATTGGCACTTGAGAAAATGCACCGGGAGCAGGGACTGGTTCCAAAATAAAGGAGAACATTCCCAACCATGCAGCAGCTCCGGAGAGTTTTCCAGTGGGAAATGCAGGAAAATCATCCCTGTGATCCACTTTGGAGCAGCCTGGCATAGTGAAAGTGCCCATGGCAGAGGGTGGAAAATGATGATTTTTAAATCCTTTCCATCCCAAACCATTCCAGAATTCATTTTAGGATTCCAGAACCTTTCTCCCAGTTTCACTCCGATTCTGAAGAATTCCCAGTGATTGCTTTTCCAGCCAAACCCTAACAATGAGATTCTTTCAAGGTTAGCAGCACAATTTGGGCAAAAAAGGAAATTATCAGGGAGGTTTAATTAAGGAGGAATATCAGCAGGTCACATCTTGTTTCTGGTGGAGTTTGGAGGAAGCAGGATTAATATTTAAATCAAACAAACCTATCTGTTAAACGAGACCGTTAAATTACAGATAACGGGGGAAGAGTCCAAATTTTCCCAAATGTTTTCAGTTTTTTTTCCTAACGACCGTCGTTATATTTTGATGCGGTTAATAATACAGCAGAGGTTAAATGAAACATGAAAAAGGGCCGTGCATTAAAATTGAGATAACTCTTCCTCCAGTGAAGTGGAACCCAGCAGATGTAGCTGCACACTGTAATTGCTGCCTGTTTCCTGTCACTCTGATTAAGTTGCATTGTCCCTGCTCCAAGTGTAGGAATCAGTGGCTTCCCATAGGGCACAGCATGGGACAGCTGGATCCAGCAGGAAAATCACTCCGTGCTTGTCCTGGTGATGGTATTGACACACAATACCTATTGATTACTCCTAAAATCAATAGGCTGGGAGTGGGAGAGGCACTCCACTCAAGGGCTGGGATTTTGGGAACGCTTCCATTCCCCATTATTCGCCAAATAAACCCAAGGCCTGGCTGCTGTGTTAGTTCTGCTTCTCAGGACTTCCAGCATTGCTGTTTTCCTCATTCCAAACCCTGAAATCCCAAAATTATGGGATGGGGAAGAATTCCAAGCCACTTCCATAGAGCAGGATGCTCACAGCCCTTTCCTTTTGCAGGTCTGAATCGTGGTGTGGAGGAGTGCTCAGAGCTTCAGGGCAGCGTGGGCTGATGCCAGAAGGATCTGGAGAAATTCCAAACTCAGGGATACTTCCCTTGCTGACAGAGGAATTGGAATATTTTGCATCCTGAGTCATCCAAGGAGCATCAGTTTGGCAGGTGGGATGTGGATTTGGATTTGGGATTGAGGCATGTCTCCCCTATCCCAGCCCAAAACCATTCTGGGATATCAGGATTCTATAAAATCCCATTTTGGCTGTTTAATCCCCAGCTTCATCCGGGGCCTAGCTTTCTAAAAAATGGAAATTAATATTAAAAGTCGTTCCTTAACACACATGTTTATTTTTTAATTTATAGAATGTACCTATTACACTCTCCAGACACATGTGCTTGATTATAACGATTATCATATGTATTTTTCCAAGGCGCTCATCATCACCATAATATCAAATGTCATTAGACAAATTAAGGAAGAGAGCAGCAACATTCCTCCCAAGGAAAATTCCAAGGAAAATCCAGTTTCCTCCTTTCCCACCACAGCACTGAGAGCTCAGCTGATTTTCTGCCACTTTTGTTTCAGCTCGACACAAAAACAGCCAAATCCTCGGGGGAAACGTGCAGCGTGCACCTGAAGCCAAAAGCTCCATGAAATATCAAAAAATATCCTGGAATTGTGCTGGAAACGCTCTCCAAAATTGGGGCAGGAGCGAGGGAGGAGGTAAACACAAACACCAGCAGATCCTGAACTCAGGCCTGGGTTTAAACCTCTTTAACACAGAAAAATAATTATTCCAGAAGGAAAAAATTAATTTAGACATTGATTAATTAAAGATTTTGAGAATATCGAGGGGTTAAAAGTAGAATTTTTAAGAGAATTTTTTTTTTTGTTAGTGGTTAGTGTAGGATTTTTTTTTTTGTTTGGTTATGAGCTGGGTGGGGGAGGGGAGAAGTTATGTGGTTTTTGGAGGTAGATTTGGTTTTTTTGTAGATGGAAGGGTGGAGAAAATGTGGGATTTTTTTTTTTTAAGAGAGAATTTTATTAGTATTTGTTTTGGGGAAGGAGAAGAGCAAGGGGGCTGTGAGGTGTTTATTTGTTTGTGAGAGTTGGAGTTTTAATTTTTTTTTTGGAGAAATGAAAGTTTTGTGAAATTTTTATCTTTTTTTGGGTTGAAAAAGAGAGGAAGAGAGATAGTTTAGGATTTGGGATGTAGGTGGGAGGAGATAATGGAGTGGTTGAATCCTGCTTGCTGCTCCCAGAGGTGCATTTTTCCTCATTTAAAGATTTCCTGCTGAGAATTATCATTTTTGGAGCAAAACCCCATTTCAGACCTTGGGAGGAGATAAGTACCAGAGGATTTACACGTGTGTTCCCAGAGGTGAGAGAAATGAATCTGGATTGGTTTAGGAGAGGTTTTAATTTCAATATTTACTTCTTTAGGCTCCAACAGAGGAAGGAAACAGCTGGAGATGACACAAACACGTCGATATTCCAGATTTAGCTGGTTTGTCTGGAAAACACGTGTTGGATTTCAAGGCTGTGTGTGTCCAAGGGGCCAGGAAGAGCAGGAGTGATCCATGCACTCAAAGGTACTACTAGGATGTTTTAATTTAACTAATTAAAAATTAACATTGTTGTAATTTAACTAATTAAAAATTAAATTTTAGGGATTTAAGGTCTTGGTTTTGGCCACTTCTCAGCAGAAGAATCCCTTAAATCCATTCTGTGTCGTGGGGGTGAAGCTGCAGCAGCAGGGAGCTGCCTTTGGATTGCTGACTCCGACTAAATCCTCGTGTTTTTGCTTCCTTTGCGTCATTTCTGTGATTATTTTTGTGCTTCATATGCTCAAAAATCCCTGGGGAATAGAGAAAAAAAACCTCTTTTTTTTTATCAGATTTTTGCTTTGCAAAAAACCGCTTTGGTGTCTTCAGAAGGTTTAAAACCCACCTGTTTCCTGGGAGAAAGGTGCATCCCAGTGGGAAATTTATGGGAAATAAAATCTATCGGCCCCACACTTGGGAAAAGGGATTTAGAGCAGGATTTTCAGTCTCAAAGCAAAGATTTATTTTTTTTTTTAGAAAGAGAACTGGGAGAACAGAGTGTTCCTGCTGCTCTGGCAGGGATTCCTCAGGATTTCCAAGGACTTACCTTGGAAAATAAGGACCAGAGCAGGGAAAAAGGGACCTGTGGGGTTTAGGAGGACACTTAAACACTCCTAAGGTCACCTGGATAATCTAATCCTACTCAGGATGATATCTAGCTCCGGCAGGAACTCTTGGAAGGTTTTAAACAACATCCATCTTCATTATTTCCCACCCTCATGTCTGTATGATTGATTCCTGCTAAATTTGGTTTAATTGCTCAGAAGGTTTTAAGGAATGACATTTGGAGAGAGCCAAATGGGATGTCTGAGCTCCCCCTGCTGCGCCACCCAGCACCCAGCACCCAACTCAGGAGCTTCTCTGTGCCCCCAAAATCCATCTAACCCCGTTATCCTGCACCAAAATGAGGGCAGAGCTGAAACTAAAACCATATTTATACCCCAAAAATCAATAATCAAAGATAAACCCCATCAGCAGGAGCATGGTGGAGCAAACCCGACATTAACCACTCGTTATTTACACTATGAACCGGTGCGTGGCCACAAAAGCTGCGAAAAAATCCCCATTTTTTTTTTAATTTTTTAATTATTTGTTAAAATCTTTCAATTGTTCAGCAGATAATGTCATGGATTGGTCCTCCCAGTGTGAAGTGCAACCATCCAGAACCCCCACAGTATTATAAATAGGCTTCGGAGCCGGGATTGATTGATGTTTGGCATCAAATCTATTCCTCGGAGCATGTGTATTCCTTCTGTTCACCAGTTTCATACAAATATACTCGGGCTGGTTTTTTATTCAAATCTCCCAATTTATGGCGGGTTTCAACTGTTAAATATTTAAATGATTTTTCATCTTTTTTTCCGTATGCGAGGCAGGGAAATCTTGCGCCGAACGCAAACGAGACTCGGAGATTTAACGAGTTTCCTGTGGGGGTGAGAAAAGCTTTATTAATTATATGGAGACTCAAATAATAGTTTTGCCTGACACTAATGTTCCATCAGTTCCAAGCACAAGGATCCTGTGGGATGGTTTTAGAGCCCTTATCGGGATCGAGATTACGGCATTTATGGCTCCGTGGAAATAGGAATTTAATCAACAGAGTTTGGAGAGAGGGTCGGAGTTGGTGGTGAGAAATGAGAGGTGCAAAAACAACCAGAAATTATTCCAGGGGAGTTCCTGGAGCTCCACAAATCCCACTGAGAGCTGGTGAGAATCCCCCCAATCACTCCTGGATCCACACTCTCCCAGGGTTATTTAAGTTAAATTATTTAACTTATTGAAGTTTTCAAATCAATAACTTTATTGGGGAATTTTTCTGCCATCGGGACTTTGTTCCATCCGCCCTTTTTCCCACGTGGATTTGTGATTAATTCATTAATTCATGTCTTTGTAAGAGCAGGAGTCAGGAGGCCAGAGCCAATTATGTCTTATTTATTATTTTGTGTATTACAGGAAAATCCGGAGACACCAATGGAACAATGGATGTACATTTCTCCTCCCAGTGGAAATTCGAATTGCTGGTAAAAAACTCAACCTGTTGCTTGAGCACCCAAATTACCCTGAAATGATAAAGAGATCACAGGGCAGGAATGCTCAAAATCTCACCTTTAACACTCAGATAATTCACTGTATTTTAGAAATGCTGTGAACTCCACCAGGTTTATTTGATATCAGATTCCCAATAGATTTTTGGCTCCCAGTTTGTTAAACTGGTGATACAGTCACTGATAAAATTGAATTATACTCGTGATTTCTGTTTCTGGTGTGAAACCCACACCAAAATCAGGAAAAAGGGATGTTCCAGTGCTCAGAGGAAGCTTCAAGTAGGAATTAATTTATCTCTGGTAGCACTTGACAAAGCTGAGCTCCTTTATAGTCACATCTGTTAGTTCAGAGCATTTATTGGAGGAGCCTTGACAAAGACAAAAACAGATGATGGAAATCTCATCTGTCAAAAGTGTTATTAAAGCTGGGAACAGGGCGAGGGTTGCTTTAAATTGAAAGCATCGTTTATATTTTATCCAAGGTTTTGGAAATAATAATAATCCGGGGAAGGGTTTTGGGGGCAAAGTGGGGAATGGGGAATGGGGAAATGGGGAATGAATGGGAAATGAATGGGAAATGAATGGGGAATGAATGGGAAATGAATGGCAAATGAATGGGAAATGAATGGGAAATGGGGAATGGGGAATGGGGAATGGGAATGGGAAATGAATGAGAAATGAATGGGAAATGAATGGGAAATGAATGGGAAATGGGGATGGGGAATGGGAATGGGGAGTGGGGAATGGGGAATGGGGAATGGGAATGGGAAATGAATGAGAAATGAATGGGAAATGAATGGGAAATGAATGGGAAATGGGGAATGGGAAATGAATGGGAAATGAATGGGGAATGGGGAATGGGGAATGAATGGGAAATGAATGGGAAATAAATGGGGAATGGGAAATGGGAATGGGGAATGAATGGGAAATGAATGGGAAATGAATGGGGAATGGGGAATGGGGAATGGGAATGGGGAATGGGGAATGGGAAATGGGAAATGAATGGGAAATGAATGGGAAATGAATGGGAAATGAATGGGAAATGGGGAATGGGAAATGAATGGGAAATGGGGAATGAATGGGAAATGAATGGGGAATGGGAAATGAATGGGAAATGAATGGGAAATGAATGGGGAATGGGGAATGGAAACTGGGAATGGGGAGTGGGGAATGGGAAATGGGAAATGAATGGGAAATGAATGGGAAATGAATGGGAAATGGGGAATGGGAAATGAATGGGAAATGGGGAATGAATGGGAAATGAATGGGGAATGGGAAATGAATGGGAAATGAATGGGAAATGAATGGGGAATGGGGAGTGGGAATGGGGAATGAATGGGAAATGAATGGGAAATGAATGGGAAATGAATGGGAAATGAATGGGGAATGGGGAGTGGGGAATGGGGAATGGGAAATTAATGGGAAATGAATGGGGAATGGGGAATGGAAACTGGGAATGGGGAGTGGGGAATGGGGAATGGGAAATGAATGGGAAATGAATGGGAAATGAATGGGGAATGAATGGGGAATGGGGAATGGGGAATGGGGATGGGAAATGGGGAATGGGAATGGGAATGGGGAATGGGAATGGGGATGGGAATGGGGAATGGGAATGGGGAATGGGAATGGGGAATGGGAATGGGGAATGGGGAATGGGGAATGGGGAATGGGAATGGGGAATGGGAAATGAATGGGAAATGAATGGGGAATGGGAATGGGAATGGGGAATGGGGAATGGGAATGGGGAGTGGGGAATGGGGAATGAATGGGGAATGAATGGGAAATGAATGGGAAATAAATGGGAAATAAATGGGGAATGGGAAATGAATGGGAAATGAATGGGAAATGAATGGGGAATGAATGGGAAATGGGGAATGGGGAATGGGAAATTAATGGGAAATTAATGGGAAATTAATGGGAAATGAATGGGGAATGGGAAATGGGGAATGGGAAATGAATGGGAAATGGGAATGGGAATGGGAATGGGGAATGAGGAATGGGAATGGGAATGGGGAATGGGAATGGGAATGGGAATGGGGAATGGGGAATGGGAATGGGGAATGGGGAATGGGAAATGGGGAATGGGAATGGGGAATGGGGAATGGGAAATGGGGAATGGGAATGGGGAATGGGGAATGGGGAATGGGAATGGGAATGGGAATGGGAATGGGGAATGGGAATGGGAAATGGGAAATGGGGAATGGAAACTGGGAATGGGGAATGGGAAATGAATGGGAAATGAATGGGGGATGGGGAATGGGGAATGGAAACAGGGAATGGGGAATGGGAAATGAATGGGAAATGAATGGGAAATGAATGGGAAATGAATGGGAAATGAATGGGGAATGGGAATGGGAAATGGGAAATGAATGGGAAATGAATGGGGAATGAATGGGAAATGAATGGGAAATGAATGGGGAATGAATGGGAAATGAATGGGGAATGAATGGGAAATGAATGGGAAATGGGGAATGGGAAATGAATGGGGAATGGGAAATGGGAAATGAATGGGAAATGGGGAATGGGGAATGGGGAATGGGGAATGGGAAATGAATGGGGAATGGGGAATGGGAATGGGAATGGGGAATGGGGAATGGGGAATGGGGAATGGGAATGGGAATGGGAATGGGGAATGGGAATGGGAATGGGAATGGGAAATGAATGGGAATGGGAATGGGGAATGGGAATGGGAATGGGGAATGGGGAATGGGAATGGGGAATGGGAATGGGAAATGGGAATGGGAATGGGAATGGGGAATGGGGAATGGGAATGGGGAATGGGAAATGGGAATGGGGAATGGGGAATGGGAATGGGGAATGGGGAATGGGAATGGGGAATGGGAATGGGAAATAGGAAATGAATGGGAAATGAATGGGAATGGGGAATGGGGAATGGGAATGGGAATGGGGAATGGGAATGGGAATGGGGATGGGGAATGGGGAATGGGAATGGGGAATGGGAAATGAATGGGGAATGGGGAATGGGGAATGGGGAGTGGGGAATGGGAAATGAATGGGAAATGAATGGGAAATGAATGGGAAATGAATGGGAAATGGGGAATGGGAAATGAATGGGAAATGAATGGGAAATGAATGGGGAATGAATGGGAAATGAATGGGAAATGAATGGGAAATGAATGGGAAATGAATGGGAAATGAATGGGGAGTGAATGGGAAATGAATGGGGAATGAATGGGAAATGAATGGGGAATGAATGGGAAATGAATGGGGAATGGGGAATGGGAAATGGGAAATGAATGGGAAATGAATGGGGAATGGGAAATGAATGGGAAATGAATGGGAAATGAATGGGAAATGAATGGGAAATGGGAAATGGGGAATGGGGAATGGAAACTGGGAATGGGGAATGGGAATGGGAATGGGGAATGGGAATGGGGAATGGGAAATGGGAATGGAGAATGGGGAATGGGGAATGGGAATGGGGAATGGGGAATGGGGGATGGGAAATGGGGAATGGGGAATGGGAATGGGAATGGGAATGGGGAATGGGGAATGGGGAATGGGAATGGGAATGGGGAATGGGGAATGGAAACTGGGAATGTGCCCTCAGATATTCCCAAAACTGTTCCTAGGGGCTTCCCTTGTTTTGTTTTCCATTGGAATGGTTTATCTAACCTTGGAGTTTATATTCCAAATAATTCCAGGTCCAAGGTGCTGTGGTACAACTGGGAATTCGATTTTTTCCACAATTTAGGTCTTATAATTGTCTTTTTTCCTTGCTGATGCAGTAATTTGGGTTTGTAGGATCTGTGGGATTTGGGATAGATGAAGTTTATTGGGGATAGAGGTACAAATCCCATCCCTGGAATGTTTTGGGATCCTGGAAGGTGTCTCTGGTACAACTGGAAATTCGATTTTTTTCCACAATTTAGGTCTTTTAATTGTCTTTTTTCCTCGCTGATGCAGTAATTTGGGGTTGTAGGATCTGTGGGATTTGGGATAGATGAAGTTTATTTGGGATAGAGGTACAAATCCCATCCCTGGGATGTTTTGGGATCCTGGAAGGTGTCTCTGGTACAACTGGAAATTCGATTTTTTCCACAATTTGGGTCTTAAAATTGTCTTTTTTCCTCGCTGATGCAGTAATTTGGGGTTGTAGGATCTGTGGGATTTGGGATAGATGAAGTTTATTGGGGATATGGGTACATATGGATTTTTCTCCATCCCTGGAATGTTTTGGGATCCTGGAAGGTGTCTCTGGTACAACTGGAAATTCGATTTTTTCCACAATTTAGGTCTTATAATTGTCTTTTTTCCTCGCTGATGCAGTAATTTGGGTTTGTAGGATCTGTGGGATTTGGGATAGATGAAGTTTATTTGGGATATGGGTACATATGGATTTTTCTCCATCCCTGGAATGTTTTGGGATCCTGGAAGTTGTCTCTGGTACAACTGGAAATTCGATTTTTTCCACAATTTGGGCCTTTTAATTGTCTTTTTTCCTCGCTGATGCAGTAATTTGGGTTTGTAGGATCTGTGGGATTTGGGATAGATGAAGTTTATTTGGGATATGGGTACATATGGATTTTTCTCCATCCCTGGGATGTTTTGGGATCCTGGAAGGTGTCTCTGGTACAACTGGAAATTCGATTTTTTCCACAATTTGGGTCTTATAATTGTCTTTTTTCCTCGCTGATGCAGTAATTTGGGTTTGTAGGATCTGTGGGATTTGGGATAGCTGATGTTTATTTGGGATATGGGTACATATGGATTTTTCTCCATCCCTGGAATGTTTTGGGATCCTGGAAGGTGTCTCTGGTACAACTGGAAATTCGATTTTTTCCACAATTTGGGTCTTTTAATTGTCTTTTTTCCTTGCTGATGCTATTTGGGGTTGTAGGATCTGTGGGATTTGGGATAGGTGATGTTTATTTGGGATATGGGTACATATGGATTTTTCTCCATCCCTGGAATGTTTTGGGATCCTGGAAGGTGTCTCTGGTACAACTGGAAATTCCAATTTTTCCACAATTTAGGTCTTAAAATTGTCTTTTTTCCTTGCTGATGCAGTAATTTGGGTTTGTAGGATCTGTGGGATTTGGGATAGAAGAAGTTTATTTGGGATAGAGGTACAAATCCCATCCCTGGAATGTTTTGGGATCCTGGAAGGTGTCTCTGGTACAACTGGAAATTCGATTTTTTTCCACAATTTAGGTCTTATAATTGTCTTTTTTCCTCACTGATGCAGTAATTTGGGGTTGTAGGATCTGTGGGATTTGGGATAGGTGATGTTTATTTGGGATAGAGGTACAAATCCCATCCCTGGGATGTTTTGGGATCCTGGAAGGTGTCTCTGGTACAACTGGAAATTCGATTTTTTCCACAATTTAGGTCTTACAATTGTCTTTTTTCCTCGCTGATGCAGTAATTTGGGTTTGTAGGATCTGTGGGATTTGGGATAGATGAAGTTTATTGGGGATATGGGTACATATGGATTTTTCTCCATCCCTGGAATGTTTTGGGATCCTGGAAGGTGTCTCTGGTACAACTGGAAATTCGATTTTTTCCACAATTTAGGTCTTAAAATTGTCTTTTTTCCTCGCTGATGCAGTAATTTGGGTTTGTAGGATCTGTGGGATTTGGGATAGGTGATGTTTATTTGGGATATGGGTACATATGGATTTTTCTCCATCCCTGGAATGTTTTGGGATCCTGAAAAGTGTCACTGCCCATGGAATAAAAGGCTCCTTAAGGTCTTTTCCCACCCAAACCATTCCGGAATCCCGGAATTCTTTCTCCAAAGACACAGGATGGGCTCTGCCTGCCTCCTACTCGTGCCTTTCTATCCTTAGCAGCATTCACAGGATTTCAGCTCCATCACACTTCTCACTCTCTAATCTTAGAGCTGCTGCCAGCTTTGAGAAGATTGGAGCTCCAGGGTCTCCTTCTGGGACACAGCCAAGTAGGTGAAAAACTTGGGAAAAGGGGGAGAGGAAAACTGGGAATTCTCTCAGATGCCTCAAGATCTGCTCAAAAGGGTTTGGGCAGGGAGAGGTGAAAGTTCCTGCCCTGGTGGAGCACGTGGAGTTGTGGGATTTTCACTGGAGAACATTCCCTGTTTTTGGAGCTGCTCCTCTAATTGTCTCCTGCTTTTTGTCTCTGTTTGCTCCCAAAGGTGTCTGTGGGATTTTGAGGTTGTAAAAGTCTCTGTGTGTCAGCCCTGTTGTCAAAGAAGAAATCATAATTAATCTGTGCTGGTTCAAGGTAGTTAATTCTGTTTATCTCTAACATGTTCTGCTGCCCTGCCACAGCTCTGTCCTGCAGGGCAGCGTGTGGGGCTTAATATATATAATGTGACAAACATTATATATTATTATATATTAAAAACTACCTGTGCTGGATTTACAATAAGGTGCCACTGTAACACCCCTCAGTGGGATGTTACAAATATTATATATTAAAAACTATGTGTGCTATATTTACAATAATTTGCCAATATAACACCCCTTAGTGGGATGTTACAAACATTATATATTTAAAACTACCTGTGCTATATTTACAATAATGTGCCAATATAACCTCCCTCAGTGGGATGTTACAAACATTATATATTTAAAATTACGTGTGCTATATTTACAATAATGTGCCAATATAACATTATATATTAAAAACTACCTGTGCTACATTTACCATAACGTGCCACTGTAACCTCCTTCAGTGGGATGTTACAAACATTATATATTAAAAACTATCTGTGCTATATTTACAATAATGTGCCAATATAACATTAAATACCAGAAACTACCTGTACTATATTTACAATATTGTGCCAATATAACATTATATATTTAAAACTATCTGTACTATATTTACAATAACGTGCCAATATAACACCCCTCACTGGGATGTTACAAATATTATATATTTAAAACTACATGTGATATATTTACAATATTGTGTCAATGTAACACCCCTCAGTGGGATGTTACAAATATTATATATTAAAAATTACCTGTGTTATATTTACAATAACGTGCCAATATAACATTATATACCAGAAACTACCTGTGCTATATTTACAATAACGTGCCAATATAACATTATATATTTAAAACTACCTGTGCTATATTTACAATAATGTGCCAATATAACATTATATACCAGAAACTATCTGTGCTATATTTACAATAACGTGCCAATATAACATTATATATATATAATGTTACAAACATTATATATTATTATATATTAAAAAACTATCTGTGCTATATTTACAATAATGTGCCAATATAACATTATATATATATAATATATATAATGTTACAAACATTATATATTATTATATATTAAAAACTACCTGTGCTGGATTTACAATAACGTGCCAATATAACATTATATATATATAATATATATAATGTTACAAACATTATATATTATTATATATTAAAAACTACCTGTGCTACATTTACAATAACGTGCCAATATAACATTATATATATATAATGTTACAAACATTATATATTATTATATATTAAAAATTGCCTGTGCTACATTTACAATAACGTGCCAATATAACATTATATATATATAATGTTACAAACATTATATATTATTATATATTAAAAACTACCTGTGCTATATTTACAATAAGGTGCCAATATAACATCCCTCAGTGGGGTGTTACAAACATTATATATTTAAAATTACGTGTACTATATTTACAATATTGTGCCAATATAACATTATATATTAAAAACTACCTGTGCTATATTTACAATATTGTGTCAATATAACACCCCTCAGTGGGATGTTACAAACATTATATATTAAAAACTACCTGTGCTATATTTACAATATTGTGCCAATGTAACATTATATACCAGAAACTACCTGTACTATATTTACAATAATGTGCCAATATAACATTATATATTTAAAACTACCTGTGCTACATTTACAATAACGTGCCAATGTCACACCCCTCAGTGGGATGTTACAAACATTATATATTAAAAACTATCTGAGTTTCTGGTATTTAATGTTATATTGGTATATATAATGTTATATTGGTATATATAAATATAGCACAGGTATATAATGTTATATCTGTGCTATATTTACAATAATGTGCCAATATAACACCCCTCAGTGGGATGTTACAAACATTATATATTAAAAATTACCTGTGTTATATTTACAATAAAGTGCCAATATAACATTATATACCAGAAACTATCTGTGCTATATTTACAATATTGTGCCAATATAACATTATATATTTAAAACTATCTGTGCTACATTTACAATAACATGTCAATATAACATTATATATTTAAAACTACCTGTTCTATATTTACAATAACGTGCCAATATAACATTATATATTAAAAACTACCTGTGCTATATTTACAATAATGTGCCAATATAACATTATATATTAAAAATTACCTGTGCTATATTTACAATAACGTGCCAATATAACATTATATATATATAATATATATAATGTTACAAACATTATATATTATTATATATAAAAAACTACCTGTGCTGGATTTACAATAACGTGCCAATATAACATTATATATATATAATGTTACAAACATTATATATTATTATATATTAAAAAACTGCCTGTGCTATATTTACAATAACGTGCCAATATAACATTATATATATATAATATATATAATGTTACAAACATTATATATTATTATATATTAAAAAACTACCTGTGCTGGATTTACAATAATGTGCCAATATAACATTATATATATATAATATATATAATGTTACAAACATTTTATATTATTATATATTAAAAATTACCTGTGCTGGATTTACAATAACGTGCCAATATAACATTATATATATATAATGTTACAAACATTATATATTATTATATATTAAAAACTACCTGTGCTATATTTACAATAACGTGCCAATATAACATTATATATATATAATATATATAATGTTACAAACATTAATAATTAATTTTTAAAACCCCAAAACAATGGGGTGATCTTAATTAGCAAAAGTTCTGAAATCCTGAACATAAAATATTTCATTGTTAATTTTCCCATCTCACTAATAATTAGGAATTAAATTAAAACAATAACAAATTAATTTGCTTGTGTTTATTTTATTCAGGAGCTCAACTTCTAAACTCCACGGCCTGGGAGGAAATTCCTTTTTCAGCCTCATTTTTTGGATTATTTAACTCATAAAAACTCCATCTAAACTCGATTTTGGAAGAATAAAATCCCCCTGGAATATTAATTAATTGATTAATTAAAGAGCCATTGTGAACTGGAGTTTGCAGAACAGCCCAAACTCACAACAAGAGGAATATTTGGAATATTTCCCTGGATTTGGTAAGGAGGAATTTTTTTACAATATTCTTTTATTATTTATTTACAATAAATATTTACAATATTTACAATATTCAATTATACAATATTTTTACAATATGGGAATATATGGGAATTATATGGGAATATATGGGAATTATATGGGAATTGTATGGGAATTATATGGGAATTATATGGGAATTATATGGGAATATATGGGAATTATATGGGAATTATATGGGAATTATATGGGAATATATGGGAATATATGGGAATATATGGGAATTATATGGGAATATATGGGAATATATGGGAATATATGGGAATATATGGGAATATATGGGAATATATGGGAATTATATGGGAATATATGGGAATATATGGGAATTATATGGGAATTATATGGGAATTATATGGGAATTATATGGGAATTATATGGGAATATATGGGAATTATATGGGAATATATGGGAATTATATGGGAATATATGGGAATTATATAGGAATTATATGGGAATTATATGGGAATTATATGGGAATTATATGGGAATATATGGGAATATATGGGAATTATATGGGAATTATATGGGAATATATGGGAATATATGGGAATTATATTGGAATTTTATATGGGAATTATATGGGAATTATATGGGAATTATATGGGAATTATATGGGAATATATGGGAATATATGGGAATTATATGGGAATTATATGGGAATATGTGGGAATTATATGGGAATATATGGGAATTATATGGGAATATATGGGAATTATATGGGAATTATATGGGATGGGAATATATGGGAATATATGGGAATTATATGGGAATTATATGGGAATATATGGGAATTATTATATGGGAATTATATGGGATTTATATGGGAATTATATGGGAATATATGGGAATTATATGGGAATATATGGGAATATATGGGAATTATATGGGAATTATATGGGAATATATGGGAATATATGGGAATATATGGGAATATATGGGAATATATGGGAATTATATGGGAATATATGGGAATATATGGGAATTATATGGGAATTATATGGGAATTATATGGGAATTATATGGGAATTATATGGGAATATATGGGAATTATATGGGAATTATATGGGAATATATGGGAATTATATGGGAATTATATGGGAATTAAATGGGAATTTTATATGGGAATTATATGGGAATTATATGGGAATATATGGGAATTATATGGGAATATATGGGAATTATTATATGGGAATTATATGGGAATATATGGGAATTATATGGGAATTATATGGGAATATATGGGAATATATGGGAATATATGGGAATTATATGGGAATATATGGGAATATATGGGAATTATATGGGAATATATGGGAATTATATGGGAATATATGGGAATTATATGGGAATTATATGGGAATTATATGGGAATATATGGGAATAATATGGGAATTATATGGGAATATATGGGAATTATATGGGAATATATGGGAATTATATGGGAATTATATGGGAATTATATGGGAATATATGGGAATATATGGGAATATATGGGAATTATTATATGGGAATTATATGGGAATATATGGGAATATATGGGAATATATGGGAATATATGGGAATTATATGGGAATTATATGGGAATTATATGGGAATATATGGGAATTATTATATGGGAATTATATGGGAATATATGGGAATATATGGGAATATATGGGAATATATGGGAATTATATGGGAATTATATGGGAATATATGGGAATTATATGGGAATTATTATATGGGAATGACATGGGAATTATATGGGAATTATATGGGAATTATATGGGTGGGATCTGTGGGGTGGGATTGGGATCTGTGGGGTGGGATCTGTGGGGTGGGATTGGGATCTGTGGGGTGGGATCTGTGGGGTGGGATCTGTGGGGTGGGGTGGGATCTGTGGGGTGGGATCTGTGGGGTGGGATTGGGATCTGTGGGATTGGGATCTGTGGGGTGGGATCTGTGGGGTGGGATCTATGGGGTGGGATTGGGATCTGTGGGGTGGGATTGGATCTGTGGGGTGGGATTGGGGTCTGTGGGGTGGGATCTGTGGGGTGGGATCTGTGGGGTGGGATTGGGATCTGTGGGGTGGGATCTGTGGGGTGGGATCTGTGGGGTGGGATTGGGATCTGTGGGGTGGGATCTGTGGGGTGGGATCTGTGGGGTGGGATTGGGATCTGTGGGGTGGGATCTGTGGGGTGGGATCTGTGGGGTGGGATCTGTGGGGTGGGATTGGGATCTGTGGGGTGGGATTGGGATCTGTGGGGTGGGATTGGATCTGTGGGGTGGGATCTGTGGGGTGGGATCTGTGGGGTGGGATTGGGATCTGTGGGGTGGATTGGGATCTGTGGGGTGGGATCTGTGGGGTGGATTGGGATCTGTGGGGTGGGATTGGGATCTGTGGGGTGGGATCTGTGGGATTGGGATCTGTGGGGTGGGATTGGGATCTGTGGGATTGGGATCTGTGGGGTGGGATTGGGATCTGTGGGGTGGGATTGGGATCTGTGGGGTGGGATCTGTGGGTTGGGATCTGTGGGGTGGGATTGGGATCTGTGGGATTGGGATCTGTGGGGTGGGATTGGGATCTGTGGGGTGGGATCTGTGGGGTGGGATCTGTGGGGTGGGATTGGGATCTGTGGGGTGGGATCTGTGGGGTGGGATCTGTGGGGTGGGATTGGGATCTGTGGGGTGGGATCTGTGGGGTGGGATCTGTGGGGTGGGATTGGGATCTGTGGGGTGGGATTGGGATCTGTGGGGTGGGATCTGTGGGGTGGGATCTGTGGGGTGGGATTGGGATCTGTGGGGTGGGATTGGGATCTGTGGGGTGGGATTGGGATCTGTGGGGTGGGATCTGTGGGGTGGGATCTGTGGGGTGGGATTGGGATCTGTGGGGTGGGGGTGGGATCTGTGGGGTGGGATCTGTGGGGTGGGATTGGGATCTGTGGGGTGGGATCTGTGGGATTGGGATCTGTGGGGTGGGATTGGGATCTGTGGGGTGGGATCTGTGGGGTGGGATTGGGATCTGTGGGGTGGGATCTGTGGGGTGGGATTGGGATCTGTGGGGTGGCATCTGTGGGGTGGGATTGGGATCTGTGGGGTGGGATCTGTGGGGTGGGATTGGGATCTGTGGGGTGGGATTGGGATCTGTGGGGTGGGATTGGGATCTGTGGGGTGGGATCTGTGGGGTGGAATGGGATCTGTGGGGTGGGATCTGTGTTGTGGGGTGGGATCTGTGGGGTGGGATCTGTGGGGTGGGATTGGGATCTGTGGGGTGGGATTGGGATCTGTGGGGTGGGATTGGGATCTGTGGGGTGGGATCTGTGGGGTGGGATCTGTGGGGTGAGATCTGTGGGGTGGGATCTGTGGGGTGAGATCTGTGGGGTGGGATCTGTGGGGTGGGATTGGGATCTGTGGGGTGGGATCTGTGGGGTGGGATCTGTGGGGTGGGATCTGTGGGGTGGGATTGGGATCTGTGGGGTGGGATCTGTGGGGTGGGATTGGGATCTGTGGGGTGGGATCTGTGGGGTGGGATTGGGATCTGTGGGGTGGGATTGGATCTGTGGGATTGGGATCTGTGGGGTGGGATCTGTGGGGTGGGGTGGGATCTGTGGGGTGGGATCTGTGGGGTGGGATTGGGATCTGTGGGGTGGGATTGGGATCTGTGGGGTGGGATCTGTGGGGTGGGATCTGTGGGGTGGGATCTGTGGGGTGGGATTGGGATCTGTGGGGTGGGATCTGTGGGGCGGGATTGGGATCTGTGGGGTGGGATCTGTGGGGTGGGATTGGGATCTGTGGGGTGGGGTGGGATCTGTGGGGTGGGATTGGGATCTGTGGGGTGGGATCTGTGGGGTGGGATCTGTGGGGTGGGATTGGGATCTGTGGGATTGGGATCTGTGGGGTGGGATCTGTGGGGTGGGGTGGGATCTGTGGGGTGGGATCTGTGGGGTGGGATTGGGATCTGTGGGGTGGGATTGGGATCTGTGGGGTGGGATCTGTGGGGTGGGATTGGGATCTGTGGGGTGGGATCTGTGGGGTGGATTGGGATCTGTGGGGTGGGATCTGTGGGGTGGGATTGGGATCTGTGGGGTGGGATGGGATCTGTGGGGTGGGATCTGTGGGGTGGGATCTGTGGGGTGGGGTGGGATCTGTGGGGTGGGATCTGTGGGGTGGGATTGGGATCTGTGGGGTGGGATCTGTGGGGCGGGATTGGGATCTGTGGGGTGGGATCTGTGGGGTGGGATTGGGATCTGTGGGGTGGGATTGGGATCTGTGGGGTGGGATTGGGATCTGTGGGGTGGGATCTGTGGGGTGGGGTGGGATCTGTGGGGTGGGGTGGGATCTGTGGGGTGGGATCTGTGGGGTGGGATTGGGATCTGTGGGGTGGGATTGGGATCTGTGGGGTGGGATCTGTGGGGTGGGATCTGTGGGGTGGGATTGGGATCTGTGGGGTGGGATTGGGATCTGTGGGGTGGGATCTGTGGGGTGGGATTGGGATCTGTGGGGTGGGATCGGGATCTGTGGGGTGGGATCTGTGGGGTGGGATTGGGATCTGTGGGGTGGGATCTGTGGGGTGGGATTGGGATCTGTGGGGTGGGATCTGTGGGGTGGGATCTGTGGGGTGGGATTGGGATCTGTGGGGTGGGATCTGTGGGGTGGGATCTGTGGGGTGGGGTGGGATCTGTGGGGTGGGATTGGGATCTGTGGGGTGGGATCTGTGGGGTGGGATTGGGATCTGTGGGGTGGGATTGGGATCTGTGGGGTGGGATCTGTGGGGTGGGATGGGATCTGTGGGGTGGGATTGGGATCTGTGGGGTGGGATCTGTGGGATTGGGATCTGTGGGGTGGGGTGGGATCTGTGGGGTGGGATTGGGATCTGTGGGGTGGGATCTGTGGGGTGGGATTGGGATCTGTGGGGTGGGGTGGGATCTGTGGGGTGGGATCTGTGGGGTGGGATTGGGATCTGTGGGGTGGGATCTGTGGGGTGGGATCTGTGGGGTGGGATTGGGATCTGTGGGGTTTTTAGGTGTCCCCAATCAAGGTGCCATCCCTAACAGGGTGTCACCCCAAACAGGGTGTCCCAAACAGGGTGTCCCCAAGCTGCCATCCCAAACAGGGTGTCCCCAAGCTGCCATCCCAAACAGGGTGCCACCCCAAATAGGGTGTCCCCAAGCAGGATGACACCCCAATCACGGTGCCATCACCAGCAGGGTGCCACCTCAAACAGGGTGTCCCCAAGCAGGGTGCCACCCCGAGCAGGGTGCCACCCCAAGAGGGTGTCCCCAAATAGGGTGTCCCCAAACAGGGTGTCCCCAAACAGGGTGCCATCCCAAACAGGGTGCCACCCCAAACAGGGTGTCCCAAATAGGGTGTCCCCAAGGAGTGTGCCACCCCGAGCAGGGTGTCACCCTGAGCAGGGTGCCACCCCAAACAGGGTGCCATTTTGAGCAGGGTGCCACCCCAAACAGGGTGACACCCAGAGGAAGGAGCCACCCCAAACAGGGTGTCCCCAAGCAGGGTGCCACCCCAAACAGGGTGCCATTTTGAGCAGGGTGTCACCTCAATCAGGGTGTCCCCAAACAGGGTGCCATCCCAAGGAGGGTGTCCCCAAGGAGTGTGCCACCCCAAACAGGGTGCCACCCCAAACAGGGTGTCCCCAAGGAGGGTGCCACCCCAAACAGGGTGCCATCCCAAACAGGGTGTCCCCAAGCAGGGTGCCACCCCAATCACAGTGCCACCCCAAGCAGGGTGCCACCCCAAACAGGGTGTCACCCCAAGGAGTGTGCCACCCCAAATAGGGTGACACCCAGAGGAAGGAGCCACCCCAAATAGGGTGTCCCAAACAGAGTGTCCCCAAACAGGGTGTCACCCCAAGGAGGGTGCCATCCCAAATAGGGTGACACCCAGAGGAAGGAGCCACCCCAAATAGGGTGTCCCAAACAGGGTGCCACCCTAAACAGGGTGTCCCCAAACAGGGTGTCCCCAAATAGGGTGTCCCCAAGGAGGGTGCCACCCCAAGCAGGGTGCCACCCCAAACAGGGTGTCCCCAAGGAGGGTGCCACCCCAAACAGGGTGTCACCCCAAACAGGGTGTCCCCAAGCAGGGTGCCATCCCTATCAGGGTGTCCCCAAACAGGGTGCCACCCCAAGCAGGGTGCCACCCCAAGCAGGGTGTCCCCAAGCAGGTGCCACCCCATCACAGTGCCACATCGCTGCCACCACGATGCCAACACCACAAGCTCGGGCACAGAACGCTAAACAACATCCCCACACATCTCATCCAATCACCCCAAATTAATTAACCATAGCACCACCTAATTACACCCACCTGCTTTCCCCCACCTTAAATATCACAAACCCTCCTCGACCCCAAAATTCCTCCTGCAACTCCATAAAAACCCAAATAAATTCCGCTGGCATCTTGTAAATTTTTATTTTCCACAACGACCGCGGGCCCCATCTGCGCCCCAGCTGTTATTAGAGAAAAAAAATTCGGATTTTCTGCATTATAAACCAGCCTAGAACAGTAATTGCCAGTGGAAAAGATTAAATGTAGACACTAAAAATGTTTACTCGTCATGAATATGCATAACGACGGGTAGGAAACAGCTCTAGAAGATTAAAAAGAAAAAAGGGTTTGTTTACAAGGCTAGGAAAAAAAAAAAAAATAAATAAAAAAAAAGGGGAATGTCAGTTGGCCCCGAGCCTGAAATAGGAAGGAAAAAACCTTTGGGTAAAGCATTAGGGAGAAAAACAGATGGTTTGTGAACCTTTTATTAGATAGAAAAATCATTAATCAAGGCCAGGCTGGAAATGGCAGTTTTTTGGGTAATTCAGAGCTAAATTTATTTTTTCTTAAAGCCACAGGTCTGCGCTTCCCCACCCGAGGAAATCCCTCAGTGGGTTTCACATTTCGGCACCTGCTGGAAAAAAAGAAAAAAAGGAAAAAAAATACTCCAAAAAAGAAGAAAACACAACTTGGATTTATTTTCATGCAGCTGAATGGAAGGAGAAATTTTGGGAATACGACAGCTTCAGGAATCAAAAGGTTTGAGGCTAAAATGTTACAAAAAATTCATTTTTTTGGGTAAAAAATAATATTATGGGGATGGGAAATGGTGATTCCTGACGTGGTTGGGGGGTTTGTGACATGGGATGTCACCTCTCCACTTTGGTTGTCCCCACAGTGTCCTCGTGCCTCGTGTCCTGTCCTCAGCGTGGCAAAAAATTCCTCATCTGGGAGCATTTATGGACCAGTCCTTAAAATGACACAGGTACAGAAAAATCAATTTAAATTGTCCATTTTTATCTGATTTTTAGTAGCTTGGATTAGGAGAAGTGGCCATAAATACACAGATTTATATAGAATTACCTGGGATTATTTACATCAATATTTTTGTTTATTCTGTTTGGGTTGGGAGCGGTCGAGAAATGAAAAAAAAAACAAAAAAAATACAAAAAATACAAAAAATACAAAAAAAATAAAAAAAAATACAAAAAAATACAAAAAAAATACAAAAAAATACAAAAAAAATACAAAACTCTCTCAAAACAATAAAACAACATTAAAAACGAGCCACAACATTTTTAACAGCAAACTCAGAGCTCGAAATAAAGCCAAAAAAATTTTCTTTAGGGAATAAAAAGGAACAGCTTCTTCCTCTCTGATGTGTTTTGTAGCACAGAGGAGCCGCCCACACATTTCCGAATTTTCTGACTAATAACTGAGGGATGAACTTCTTAAAACATGTGAAATCCATCAGAGCTGAGGGAGGAAAAAGAAATAAAAACTGATTTTTGTAAGAAAAAGTAGCTGGAATTGCAATGCTTGAATATGTTCCGGCACAAAAAAGCACGGGAATATCTCGGCAGCTGTGGAGAATTATTGGAAAAATTGGAATTTTCAAAAAGAAAAAAATTAAATCCAAGGGGTGGCAGGGGGATAAAAAATTTAGGAAAAAATTGGGGTTTTTTAGGAAAAAATTGGGGTGTAAACCCCAAATGTGCTGGTAGCAGATGGGAAGTTAAACATTGATTATTTCCCCAGGTTGGCACAAAATTGGCATCTGGAATTAATTGGCTGTTTGCCCACGGTGTGGAGCTCAGCAGGAGCTGAAGGTGACGTGAGAAAACCCTTTTAAATCTCAATTTTTGATCTAGAAATAAAAACCAGGAATGTTTTTGCAATTTCCACCAGCTCCAAATTGCACATCTGCAATAAAAATGCAGGTGTGGCGCTGCAGCAATGCAGGGGTTAAACCTTTCCGAGCTCTCCCATCTGCCACCAGCCCTAAAAAACCATTTAAAAATGAATTTTTTAGCCTCACAGACAGATTGTGGTGAGCTCCCCCCACGTCTCCAGCGAGGCTGAGGCATTAAGAATGTATGGATGCTGCCTATGGATTCCATACGTGTTTATTCTATAATTATCGTCGTGTTTGAGTGGTAAATAATGTTGGTGTACAGATGGAAAGTGTCCATGTGATATCCGTGAAAAACAGGAAATTCTGATTGTCCTAAAAGCTCAATTCTGGTCTGGGAGCGATTAGGGAGCTCGTTAATTAGGTTAATTAGAGATTGTGTGTTTTAGGTGGAAGATGTGGTGCTGCAGGGGCGTCTTCACTCCAGAAATCCACACCAGGATGGAGAATTCCTCCCTAAAATGGACAATTCCACCCTAAAATGGACAATTCCACCCTAAAATGGACAATTCCTCCCTAAAATGGACAATTCCTCCCTAAAATGGACAATTCCACCCTAAAATGGACAATCCCACCCCAGGATGGACAATTCCACCCCAGGATGGACAATTCCACCCTAAAATGGACAATTCCACCCTAAAATGGACAATTCCTCCCTAAAATGGACAATTCCTCCCTAAAATGGACAATTCCTCCCTAAAATGGACAATTCCACCCTAAAATGGACAATTCCTCCCTAAAATGGACAATTCCTCCCTAAAATGGACAATTCCACCCTAAAATGGACAATTCCTCCCTAAAATGGACAATTCCTCCCTAAAATGGACAATTCCTCCCTAAAATGGACAATTCCTCCCTAAAATGGACAATTCCACCCCAGGATGGACAATTCCACCCTAAAATGGACAATTCCACCCTAAAATGGACAATTCCTCCTTAAAATGGACAATTCCACCCTAAAATGGACAATTCCTCCATAAAATGGACAATTCCACCCTAAAATGGACAATTCCACCCTAAAATGGACAATTCCACCCTAAAATGGACAATTCCATCCTAAAATGGACAATTCCACCCCAGGATGGACAATTCCACCCTAAAATGGACAATTCCACCCCAGGATGGACAATTCCTCCCTAAAATGGACAATTCCACCCTAAAATGGACAATTCCACCCTAAAATGGACAATTCCACCCCAGGATGGACAATTCCACCCTAAAATGGACAATTCCTCCCCAGGATGGACAATTCCTCCCTAAAATGGACAATTCCACCCTAAAATGGACAATTCCTCCCTAAAATGGACAATTCCACCCTAAAATGGAGAATTCCACCCTAAAATGGACAATTCCTCCATAAAATGGACAATTCCTCCCTAAAATGGACAATTCCACCCTAAAATGGACAATTCCACCCTAAAATGGACAATTCCTCCCTAAAATGGAGAATTCCACCCTAAAATGGACAATTCCACCCTAAAATGGACAATTCCACCCTAAAATGGACAATTCCTCCCTAAAATGGACAATTCCACCCTAAAATGGACAATTCCTCCCTAAAATGGACAATTCCACCCTAAAATGGACAATTCCTCCCCAAAATGGACAATTCCTCCCTAAAATGGACAATTCCACCCTAAAATGGACAATTCCACCCCAGGATGGACAATTCCTCCTTAAAATGGACAATTCCTCCCTAAAATGGACAATTCCACCCTAAAATGGACAATTCCACCCTAAAATGGACAATTCCACCCCAGGATGGACAATTCCACCCCAGGATGGACAATTCCACCCCAGGATGGACAATTCCCACCTCAGGATGGACAATTCCACCCTAAAATGGACAATTCCTCCATAAAATGGACAATTCCTCCCTAAAATGGACAATTCCACCCTAAAATGGACAATTCCACCCTAAAATGGAGAATTCCACCCTAAAATGGACAATTCCACCCTAAAATGGACAATTCCACCCTAAAATGGACAATTCCTCCCCAAAATGGACAATTCCACCCCAGGATGGACAATTCCACCCTAAAATGGACAATTCCTCCCTAAAATGGACAATTCCTCCCTAAAATGGACAATTCCACCCTAAAATGGACAATTCCACCCTAAAATGGACAATTCCACCCCAGGATGGACAATTCCACCCCAGGATGGACAATTCCACCCTAAAATGGACAATTCCACCCCAGGATGGACAATTCCACCTTAAAATGGACAATTCCACCCTAAAATGGACAATTCCTCCATAAAATGGACAATTCCTCCCTAAAATGGACAATTCCACCCTAAAATGGACAATTCCTCCCTAAAATGGACAATTCCACCCCAAAATGGACAATTCCACCCTAAAATGGACAATTCCACCCTAAAATGGACAATTCCTCCCTAAAATGGACAATTCCTCCCTAAAATGGACAATTCCACCCCAGGATGGAGAACTTCTCCTCAGGATGGAGAACATCTCCCCAGGATGGAGAACTCCACCCCAGGATGGACAATTCCACCCCAGGATGGACAATTCCACCCCAGGATGGACAATTCCACCCCAGGATGGAGAACTCCACCCCAGGATGGAGAACATCTCCCCAGGATGGAGAACATCTCCCCAGGATGGAGAACATCTCCTCAGGATGGAGAACATCTCCTCAGGATGGAGAACATCTCCCCAGGATGGAGAACATCTCCCCAGGATGGAGAACATCTCCCCAGGATGGAGAACTCCACCCCAGGATGGACAATTCCACCACCTCAGGATGGACAATCCCACCTCAAGAACATTTTCCATCCTTTTCCTGCTCCTGGGACCATTTTTGGGTGCAGAATTCCAATTTTGGGTTCCTTTTTTCCCATTTTTCCATGGAATTTTTTGGAGCTTTCCCCTCCCTCCTATAAAGTGTTTTTCTGTCATTCCCAAAAATTATTTTTGCATTTTCCAAATCCTCAGGAACAACATCTCTGCATCCCCCCAAAATGTTTAAATTTTAAAATTTTTAAATTTTTAAATTTTTAATTTTTAAATTTTTAAATTTTTAGATTTTTAAGATTTTTTAGATTTTTAAATTCCCCAAATCAATCCATAATTAAATTAAATGCAGATTGGAATAATTAATCCCTAAAATCCACCCCTAAACACAACAACAATAAACCCTCTGTTTTTTTTTTGCAGGATATTTGTCATCTTTTGATGCTGTGCCAAAAAAAAAACGGAATTTTGGGAGAGGAAAAACCTCCGGAAGCGTCTTCCCGAAAAATCCGTGCTCCAAAAAAAACCAGGGCAGGAATTTCAGGTAAAAAATAAAATTCAGGTAAATAAAATTCAAATTTCAGCAGCTCAGGAGTGGCTGGAAATATTAATATTAATATTAATATTAATATTAAATTAATAATATTAATTTATTAATTAATAAAATTTAAAAATTAAATATTTTTAAATTAAATATTTAAAAATTAAATATTAAAATTTTTTTTAAATTAAAAAATTAAATATTAAAAATTAAATATTAAAAATTAAATATTAAAAATTTAATATAATATAATTTAATTAATTATATTATATTAATTATATTAATTATATATTATATATTATATATATTAATTATATATATATATAATATATATATATATAATTAATATATATAATATATATATATTATATTATATATATATAATTAATATATAATTAATATATATATAATATATATATAATATATATATATTATATATATATTATATTATATATATATATTATATATATATATATAATATTATATATATTATATATTATATATATATATTAATTATAATTAATTAATTAATTATATAATGAATTATATTAAATTATATTTAATTAATATTAAATATTAATATTAATATTTAAATAATTAATATTTAAAATGCTGGAAATTCGGTGGTGGGAATTTGGGATAAATGATTCCAGCTGCTCCAAAATCCTGGGAAAATCCTGGAAAAATCCTGGAAAAATCCTGGAAAAATCCTGGAAAAATCCTGGAAAAATCCTGGAAAAATCCTGGAAAAATTCATCCCTCAGTTTGGAATTTTGGGGGGTCACCCCCTGGTATCTCCTGCCACCATCCCCAGATATAAAAAAGGCTGGGATGACACAAAAAACACAAATATTTTGGGAAAATTGCTTTTCCTGAGCGGGAAAAATCCATAAATATATAAATATATCCATAAATATCCTCTCTGGAATAAATAAATTCCATAGGAGAGGATGTGATTCCAAAAAAAAACACGGATACAACGTTTAAAACAGGAATAATTCAATTTATTTCATTTTTTTATTCATAAAAAGGGCAAAATTTTATATCCCAGTGGAAAAATCCATAAATATATAAATATATCCATAAATATCCTCTCTGGAATAAATAAATTCCATAGGACAGGATGTGATTCCAAAGAAAACACGGATACAATATTTTAAACGGGAATAATGAATTTTATTTCACTTTTTTATTCACAAAAAAGGGTAAAATTTTATATCCCAGTGGAAAAATCCATAAATATATAAATATATCCATAAATATCCACTCTGGAATAAATAAATCCCATGGGAGAGGATGTGATTCCAAAAGAAAACACGGATACAGCGTTTTAAACGGGAATAATTCAATTTATTTCAATTTTTTATTCACAAAAAAGGTAAAATTTTATATCCCAGTGGAAAAATCCATAAATATATAAATATATCCATAAATATATAAATATATCCATAAATATCCCCTCTGGAATAAATAAATTCCATAGGAGAAGATGTGATTCCAAAAAAAAACACGGATACAGCGTTTTAAACGGGAATAATTCAATTTATTTCACTTTTTTATTCATAAAAAAGGTAAAATTTTATATCCCAGTGGAAAAATCCATAAATATATAAATAAATCCATAAATATCCTCTCTGGAATAAATAAATCCCATGATTCCAAAAGGAAACACGGATACAGCGTTTAAAACGGGAATAATTCATTTTATTTCACTTTTTTATTCACAAAAAAGGGTAAAATTTTATATCCCAGTGGAAAAAATCCATAAATATATAAATATATCCATAAATATCCTCTCTGGAATTAATAAATCCCATAGGAGAGGATGTGATTCCAAAAGAAAACACGGATACAGCGTTAAAAACGGGAATAATTCAATTTATTTCACTTTTTTATTCACAAAAAAAGGGTAAAATTTTATATCCCAGTGGAAAAATCCATAAATATATAAATATATCCATAAATATCCCCTCTGGAATGAATAAATCCCATGGGACAGGATGTGATTCCAAAGAAAACACGGATACAATTTTTAAATGGGAATAATTCAATTTATTTCAATTTTTTATTCACAAAAAGGGCAAAATTTTATATCCCAGTGGAAAAATCCATAAATATATAAATAGATCCATAAATATCCCCTCTGGAATAAATAAATCCCATGATTCCAAAAAAAAACACGGATACAATATTTTAAATGGGAATAATTCAATTTATTTCAAT